TCTCTATGGGAGGCCATTATAACTGCAAATGGCTTGCGCTAGGACTGATTGACATGTTTCAAATTTCAAAATTTGAAAACTAAATGTGGGAAAATTCAAGTGACATTTTTTGACAATAGTCTTTTGTTCCATATTACAGTCAATTCTAGAACTGGTTGAAATTTTTTTGAGCTTTGAAATAAAAAGCCATAAAACCAGAACATTAATTTTCTATGTTTTGCAAATTTCCTCATCAATCTTATTTGCTGGCCAGTCTCTGTTGGAACTTATGGCCCAGAGTTAGAGGACAAGGCTAATATTGCTGGCTGCCACCTCAACTAATGATGCCACAGAATCTGAGCATGCAGATAACTCTGACTGGCCTCCCAGTTGCTAGTACAGCTGTAGTAGCAAGCCAATGGCAGAGTTCCAACCATCTGCTTTTAACATGAGGCTACAAGATATTCTTCCTCTCTCTGGTTTAAAATGCAGTGAAAAGGCTTCTGAGAAATGGTCTGGGGCAAATGCAATAGGTTCCCTATGTGGGACGACTCTGGGGCTGTTCAGGGAAGAAGACGACTTGCACTTTCCTTCTCTCACCATGCACCAATGTGTGAGAGTCAAGCAGAACTTGGTCCACTGCCAGCATCCATCAAACAAAATTCAGTGAATGCTACACCAGGACTACAGGACTTGAACCAGCCCCCACTGAAATTAATGGCAAAACTCCCACTGGCCACAATGGTTCAGGATCAGGTCTATGAGTAATTTGTATTAACTTTTCTTTAACTATTCAAAGATTTCTTTGTTCTAACTATTTCAAGAAAAGCACAGATCCTGTATCCATTTCACACTTAACCCCTCTTTTGCAGTTGGAGACACATGCCTGTTAATCCTGAGCATTTTTCATTCCATCATTATTTACTTAAAATTTATAACCAAACATTAAATGAGGAAAGATGCTGTTCACATTGTCTGCTTATATTATGATTCTTTTGCACCTATTTCAATTTAAAGGATTTAATTTCTATTTAAGGTTAGATTAGCAACCAAGCAGCCCAGTATAGTCAAGTAATTGAACATGCTCAATTGAGTGCACATTAATACATCTCTTTTTAGAGATATTCTTTTACTTCCAGAGGACCTCACTGTTTTTGCCTCTTTCAAACTGCTGATACAAGAACTCTTCACAGCATAAGAGACTTCTATTACAGCAAGTAGTAATCTGTTAGTTAAACAATTGCCACCTCTATTCCAATGGGGAAAATTCACTGCTCAGGGTTCAACCTGACTAATCAGGTGGGGTGAATTTGTGGGGGATAAAGGACAGAAATCACTTTCTCCAGACCACAGATCAACTTCAGAGTCCTTCTGCAGAAGGTACTCCAGCCAAATGTCTGAAGAAGTGTCAGTGAGCCCTTATGGGGCATCTGTGTTGTGGGGAGAGGACACTAGCCTTGATACATGCCTCATGCCTTCCTATGCATTATGTGCTACCCTGCAGAAAATTCAGGCACAGCATGATCTGCGCATGGGAAGCACACTCCTCTACCCTCTGCATCCAACCCTACTTGCTCAGTGGAACTACATAGAAAGTTTCAATACAAACGACTGTGTGACAGATTCAGATGAACAGGTTTGTTATTGGTCTGTGCCTATTCTGAAAATCTTTGCTTATAATAGGAACAGGCTAAGAACCCAAATCCATATATTAGGTGAATAGTTCTCTACTCATACAATAGTATTCTCATTAGAGTATGGGACTGCTTGCATGAGTAAGGTTTGCTCTAACTGGGATTTTTAAAAAAGAGAACATTAAAAAATGTCTTACAGTTATATGAATTCCCTTTTCTGTGCTTCCAAATTAATGTTGTTCCTCTGTTTCCACAAATAGTAGACATCAATATATAGAAGATCTTTTAAAAATGCCCAAATAAATACATTTAAAACACAAACCCAGTGAAGAAACTGTGCTAAAAAGCAGCAACAGCTGACAGGATGTGAAGTATTTTAACAAAAAATACCTATGTTTGTGAAGTAGTACTTCCTACTCAAATTGTTAAAAGAACAACCAGCAAAGCTGATGAAAATCCAGTTACATTGAATTGCTACTACTATTACAGCAAAGCCCCTGAAGTGAACAGAAATATTTTCACTAATTGAATTGGGTTCTGGATCATGCCCTTAATGTACAAAGGAGAAAAACCAATAGAAACAGTTTACTAATGGGCTGCATCTAGACTGGCAAGTTTTTCCGCAAAAGCAGCTGCTTTTGCGGAAAAACTTGCCAGCTGTCTACACTGGCCGCTTGAATTTCTGCAAGAACACTGACGATCTCATGTAAGATTGTCAGTGTTCTTGCGGAAATACTATGCGCAAGAGGGCCAGTGTAGACAGGTAAAAACTGTTTTGTGCAAAAAAGCCCCGATGGCGAAAATGGCGATTGGGGCTTTCTTGCGCAAAACCGCGTCTAGATTGGCACAGACGCTTTTCCGCAAAAAGTGCTTTTGCGCAAAAGCGTCCTTGCCAATCTAGACGCTCTTTTCCACAAATGTTTTTAACAGAAAAACTTTTCCATTAAAAGCATTTGCGGAAAATCATGCCAGTCTAGACGCAGCCATAGGGTTTTCAAAATGTTACTAGAAATGAGACAACAGCATCATGCCACTTACAGTGCATAACACTAAAAGATGGTACAGTTACTCTTCCAGATTTGTTATTAAGTCTGGTTTACCAACATCATGAAAACAACTAAATACTAGAAAAAGAAACCCTTTCTATAGTGATGCTATAGCTATAGTCTTCCAATGTTATGACAAAAAGTTGCTATAAGACTGTTGATGAAATACGTATGAATCAAAGGCCGTGTCCAGACTCAGGGTTTTTTTCGGGAAAAGTAGCCTTTTCCCGAAAAAACTTCCCCTGCGTCCAGACTCAAGCCGCGTTCTTTCGAAATTATTTCGAAAGAACGCGGCTTTTCTTTCGATGGCGGTAAACCTCGTTTCACGAGGAAGAACGCCTTCCTTCGAAAGTTCCTCTTTCGAAGGAAGGTGTTCTTCAATGTAAAGAGGCCGTCTTCGAAAGAGAGCATCCAGACTCGCTGGGTGCTCTCTTTCGAAAAAGCGGATTTCTCTTTCGAAAGATCCGCCTGCAGTCTAGATGCGATCTTTCGAAAGAGGATCTTTCGAAAGATGCTTTCGAAAGAGCCTCTTTCGAAAGAAGCCTGCAGTCTAGACATAGCCAAAGGCTTTTAAATAGTACTAATTCTGAGAACTAGTGTTAAAAATTGTGGAGTACTGCAGCAAATGATATAGAGATCTGTATTATTTATTTTTAAAGTAAATTTAGTCTTCATGAAAGGCGCCAGATTGACAGCTACTGGAAACTGAAGTCCACTATTGGTTTCTGTTACCAAATGAAAGTGGAGACTACAGATACAGTATAAATTAACATTTCTAATAGCAAAATTATGTGGCCTTATTTACAGCATGTAAATTTATACATGCTTTGAAAGAAATTGTGGTAATATGGTATTGGCCAAAACAACTAGTGTCTAAATGGTTAATGATACATTTAGCTCAATATTTCAACTTTAATTTCAATTTTAAGCTACAAACCAATTAAAACAAATATGGTGGTTTTATATTGACAGAATTATTGCTTTCTGTCTTGGCCCACAGCAATAAGCAAC